CTGAATGTGTGCGAAGTTTCTGTTCTTTTTGGAAATGAACTGTGGTAATTGATAGCACAGGATGGTAAATATAATTACTTTCACCAAATTGTATGCTTAAAAAATGGTTAAATTGCAATCTTTTGTTTCTATTTTTCCATAGTAAAAGAATTAAATTAAACAAAAAAAAATAATATTTATAATTGAAAGTCGTATTCTATTCATGTAACAAATTGTTTCCCGTCTTGGGTGTATCACCTGTTTCTGCCACAGGCTGCTAGGATGGATGATTGCTAAGGACTGAGCTGTGCCTCCAAGAAGATATGCTGAAGCCTTTTTTATCCTCAATATCTTTAAATAAGAACTTGTTCAGAAATGTATCTTTGAAGATTCTCTCAGTTAAGTAAACACAAGATCACGGATCCTAACCCTGTATGAGGACTGTGAACACTCCGAGTCACTCTATAGGGAAAAGATATGACCCTGTCTCCATCAAGATTATGGCCATGTTGCCCTGCTACGCAGCTGTCCTTGGTCACGAGGGGCCATTCTGAGTCACCCAACAACAACAATAAAAGCAACAATGGGGACTTCATGAATAATGTCCAAATTTCTAAGCTTTGTTAACTATGATAGAGTTAGAGTAGATTTCCCCCCCTTTGTTCATTTTGGGAAAGCTAAATAATTTCGGAATACATTTAATCTTTTTTTAGTATATGGATGCTGGATTTCTAGAAACCATTGAGTATCCATCGTACCCTAATGCTGGGTGTGAGGACCTGTAAGTACATGAGGATGTGGACAGCACAAGATGTCAGCTCCCACACAGGGAGAATAGATAGAAGAAAAATGTCAAAAATATTCACCCCTTTTCTTTTCTCATTCACTTGCTTCAAGTTTGTTCCAACTCACACCAAACCTCTGTTGGGTCTGCTGGGTTTTCAAGACTGTAAATCCTAATGCAAGGAGATGGCCCGCCCATCTTTCTCCTACAGAGCAGTTGGTTATGAATCACTGGATCCAAACCATCAGAGACACTGAGCCTTCGGGTTAGCAGCTCAATCTGCTGTGGGCCCCGTCACCAGACCTCCATTACTATAGGACAGCAGTTATCATAGTGCAGAGATGGTAGTGACCAAGAAGGTCACACCATGGGGAGTTTTAGCCTACATATATTTGGGGAAGAGTATCCTCTTTGAACATTTTTTAAGTCATCATATTCAATTCCCTGTGATAGAAGCTGACAGTGTGAGGGCATCAAGCTAAGACTGTTTTCCCAGGATCCCAAACGCCAAGCCAGGATAGTGGCTGCCTACAATGCTCCCCTAGCCATTATTAGCAATATAAGGGCTATTAGGAGGAATATCTGTTCACATTAGATGTTTATACACATTACACACACATATGCATTGTCTGTAATTACACGGCTAATTTTTTCTATTTTTTAAATCCCCCCAGTTACCTTGAAACTTGAATTATTTGCATTTTGCTTAATGCCTAAAGCTCTGTGACCTGCGTATGATACTTACTAACGTATCCATTAGCTAATGAAGAAAGCCACAGACATACAGCTTGGAAGCATATTAACGTAACAGACACAACACCAACTGTCTAACAAGTTAAAAATTTTCAAGCTGCTTCCTAGGGGCTCAGACAAACTCATGAAGGGACATAGTCCTGGATATATTGCAGTGCAGGTATCATCCAGGTATTACAGAGATAAGTTAATATTTGTAGAATATTAAACAGTGTGAAAATTTTAAAAAACCAACAAAACAAAACACAAGACAACAAACCTCAAACACCCCAATCCTGCTCCTATTAATATTTTGGGTAACAATAAAACCGTATAGCTCTTTTCTGAGTAGGAAGAGTTGTCTGTGATTAGTGCTGTGATTCTACTAACAGTTTTGCATTCTGCTAACTTCACACACACAGAGATCTCTACAGAAGAGTGTGTGGACTCGTCACCTCAAAGTTACAGGAGTTTACTTTGTTCAAAGAAACTTTCACAGCATTCTTCTTTGAGAAAATGAAAGGTAAGCTGACTTTTAGGAATAAAAGGTCATGGTTACTTTGACCTACAGGACAACCTGACAGGAACAGTTTAATCAGAATTTTTACAAACTTTGATGTACTAACAAATTCTTTGATCAATTTTCTTTTCAGCACTGCTTTGCCAAATGTTTCTCTTTTATGGAAATTATTTTTATGAGGATCATTTATATTCTATTTCTATTTTTAAAGGTTTTATTCATTGACTTGCTTTAATGTCCACATTCAATTTTGCCAATGAAAGCTTTTATTTTCAGCTTTCTTTTGGACTTTTCATTCCTGCCAGGGCCATACTGTGAAGACTTAAATTTTCGAGTTTGAGAGTTTCAGGGAGGTAGAGAGAAAGGAGAGTGATAGAGGAAAAAGTGACACCAAAGAAGAAGCCAATCAAGAGAATGCAAGCTATAAGCCTCTGGGCTGAGAGCTCTGAAGGCTAAGGTGCACTTCAGGGTCCGCACCTCCCTGAGAAGGAGCACAGCCTCCCCCCACAAGAGCCTGGGGACACCAGACCCTCCCAGATCCACACTGTGGAAGACTGCTGAAAAGATAGCTAGATCCTTAGAACCTTAATCTGCTGAACAAGTGGGCAGGACTGCTGGATAGTTTTCTTATACCTGAAGTACTCAATCTCTGGTTTCAAGTTAGAATGTTCTAGATGAACAGTAAAATGTATTAATTCACTAACTCTCATCTCTGAATCCATGTCCTTTTTGTATACTCTGCGGACTCAAATGGATAATAGTTAGGTACAAGTGTGGAACATTTCTGAGGCAAAGTGAACCATCAAGGATGGCTGGAGGAAAATTATTTGTGTGACAATACAGTGAGCTAAATGATCTCATTTTTATGTGTGGTATATCATTTTTACTTGGAAGAGAGCTACTGATAAAGCTTATTATTTAGAAGACATTTTCTTGAAATGAAGCTGTTATTTCAGGAGAAACAACTGACAGTTTTATGGCCGACTTGCAGTTTCAAGCAAAACTTGGAATTTTTGAAAACTTGCACCTACTAGGTTTCCAATACTTAGAGGCTTTTCTGATGAGATTGGTAGCAGTATTAACTAAGGCCTTTTTTTCAACATCAGATGTTAAACTGTTTGGAAGATTTGCATGATTCAAGTTTTCAAATGATCAATGCACGATCTTAGATATGATGCCTGAATAAGAGATTCATTGAATGTGCAAGATACACTAATGGATTTTTTTTGAGATAATTTTAAATTACATATTGAAACTAATCATTAAGAAATCACCACTAGACTTTTAGTATTGTACTGAAGAGGAATAAACTCAACCACATAAAAAAGTTGTAACAACTTCTCCTTTCTCCAAATGTCTGTCTAAAAGAAAGATTTTCTTCATACATTTCAATAAATAAGCTGATTTTAGAAGATTGAGTGCAGAAGCAGATAAAAGTGAAAAAGACTCAGTAATATTGAAAAATGTTGCCCTTGTTACTAAAACTTGAAAAAGGTATGTTACTTTTCATAATAATACGATTTTCTATGTTAACTTACAATGGCTTTAATATTTTTTTTAAAAAATGAGTTATTAAATACTTAGAATATCTTCAGATATATATTACTATTAGTGCTGGTGGCATACATGTCAGGTTTCTAGCCAAAGGTTGGCTGTTCAACTCTACCAGCCAAACCGAGTGTCCCCGAAATGTGATCAGAGTCATGATGAGTCAGAATCAACTTGATGATCTAGCAGTGGGTTTGTTACTAAATTAATCAATAACCCTGACATAAAGAAAAGCTATTCAATGTCCTCAATATTAAAATGGAAAGGAGTCCTGTGGTCAACATCTTGAAAACCAGAAAGACGAACTCTTGGGGCAGCAGGTCTTGGTGTTTTTCCTAGCATGCAAGTCTTAATCAGTGATTCATAATAAAAAGGCTCCGCTCTGCAATGGTGCTGCTGTCATATGTCACGGAATTGCTTCTGACTCACCATGACCTCATGCACTGAAGAGAGATCGTAACAGACACGGACTGCCAGGTCTTTTACTCTGTGGCACTGCTGAGTAGGGCTGAATCCCCATCTCTCAGGTTAGCAGCTGGGAATGAGCTCTATCACTGAGGTACAGTGGTACCGACCTCAAGTATGAAAAATCAGAACAAACAAAACACACACTATTCTTGCAGTGCTGCCATTGCTGTTAGCCTGTTACGAGTCTTGAGAAGTACTGCCATACATGCTGGGTTTACCTTCTGTAATCCCGTGTCCACTCTGATATGCTGGGTATGTAGGTGAGATGAGAACACTCCGGTCACTTGACCTTGGAGAAGAAGCATGGCAGAAGTCTAATGAGGATCTACCAGAACTCACCTTCAAGTCGGACCACCAAGGGCACCTTGAGTTCTAGCTCCTGGCAAGCTCGGATGATGCCATTGGCAATGATGGCACAGTTCACAATTCCACCAAAAATATTGACGAGGATGGCTTCAACCTGGAGTGAAAAAGAGGAAGTTATCTATCAAAATGCTGCCAGGTGACATTCTGAAAAGTAGCTGACTAAACAATGACAATTTAAAAGACTATTTTTGTTTTTCTTTTTACATGAGATATAAAACAGAAAAATAAGTGTCACAAAACAGTTAAGGGTAGATAATATTGTTGTTGTTGTTATGTGCCGTTGAGTCATTTGTGACTCATAGCGACCCTATGTACAACAGCCCTAAACCCTGCTCTATCCTGTGCCATTCGCACTGCCTCTGACACACCCGTCCCGATTACCCCAGTCACGGAATCAATCCATCTCATAGAGGGTCTTCCCCTCCTGTGCCATCCCTCCACCCTCGAAGCATGATTGTCCCTCTCCAAGGACCTGTCCTTCCTTGCAACATGCCCCAAGTATGTCAGACGAAGCCCCAGAATCCTTGCTTCCAAGGAGTTGCTTGGTTTAATCCTCCCCAGGATGAATCTGTCTGTTTTCTTGGCAGTCCATGGTACATTCAATACTCTTCTCCAGCACCACAGCTCAAAGGCATCAATTCTCCTTCTGTCCTCCCTAGTCA